AAAGTCCGCAAAATTCGTGTTGTATCAACAAGCCTGAGATTTATTAATTTCTCGTCCGCTATTTAATAGAGGAGCACACAAGCAGGTGACGTGTCCAATCTTACCCTTTCACAAAGAGAGCACTTTCAGCAACCCTATATTTGAGTTGCCACCATTAGCACCAGACCTGTCATTTATAATATCCATTTATGTTTAACCAACCTTCTAATAATAAGATACTAAATACCCATTTCTACATTCAAATGTAAATAAATAAAGCAATTCTATTTTTAAATACTGTAAATGGACACAAATCAAGACCATTTGGCAACAAGCGTAAAAGCATTATTTAAAACAATAATTGAATGTTAAAAACTTAATAAATGCTGCTTAACATATTAAATTAAGGTGTTTAAATGATTAATAAATTAAATAAAATTATCATATATAATTCTATTAAAATAGTTAATGTTTCTATTCAGATATAGCAAGAATTAAATGCATTTTTATTTAAATCAATCATATTAAAATCAAAAACAGAATATAAGTACGTTCAATTGTTTTAAGGTATTTAGTTGAGTTTTATCAGACCAGCTTTTACAGGAAAATCATAAACGTTAATCCAGAATGTACAGGCTCGAAGAAAATGAAGCAAGGCATTAAAGTTAAACAATATAAATCTGTGTCTCGAGACTAACAGTACTTTGGGGCTAAGAATTATGAATAAATATAAAAGCATTTCAGACCCATAAAAAGAAAAAACTATCCATATTGAAAGTATGCTTCATCTTGGAAATATAATGAGACAGAAGAAAATTAATTGCATATTTGAAATCAATTGGTTAGTATCAATAATATTCACAAATGTTCTTCTCTGATAACTTGCGTAATAATGCAAATGAATAAGAGTAATAGCGAGTGAATGGAATTTGGTTATGTAGGATCTTGTAAATTTCTCTTGGAAACTTATTATTTTTCTCTCCGTTTAACTCAGAGTTGACTTTCACTTTCCTTGTCAAAATCAAACAAAAAACAAATTCATAAAATTAAAGCTGCTAACATCATTACTGTGTCATCTCTCATTTTGAACTCAAGTATTTAATATTACATTTAATAATACTTGAAAGGTAATTAATATAGCGGTTGAAATAAATATGTGGAAATTAAAAAAAAAATGAAAATTAAAAAATTTGCAATGGATTCAAAAATTCAAAAAATGTTGGACTGAATTGAAAGTAAAAAAAACGAATAAAAATTTTTGAATGGAATTTTTGAATGGAAACAAAATGACAAATGAAGAAACAATTGAAAATAAAATGATTTTGAAATGAATTTAATTGAAAAACAAATTTTTGAAAAAAATATTTAATTAAACAAAAAGGAAGGGAAAGGGAAAAAAAAAAAAATAACAATGGCAAAAAAAAAATGTAATAATAAAAAGCCCATCTCGGCCCTAGGGGGAGGTCTGGCACCGGATTGGGGGGGGGACGCTGGGATCGGCAGACCCGGTTTCGGGGTTATCCAGGAGGTGAGGAAGCCTTATTCTCTGACCCGAATCATGGTTAAGCGCGCCCGAGACGTGGATGGTCCTAGGCTATTTTTTTTTTTTTTTGTTTTTTTTTTGTTTTTTTTATAAAACATAAAGAAAATAAAAATTGAAATTGAAAGGTGTGGAGTTTTTGACAGTTTTTCTGATTAAATTTTTTCTCGTAATGTTCATATGGAAAGCTTTTGAAATAAAAATAATGCAAATGATGAAGAATAAAATTATTAAAAAAATAAAAAGAAAATTGAAACTAAAACGTAAATTGAATTGAAATTGAATATTTTTTTTATTTTTAATTTTTTATGCTATAAAAAAAATTCATAAAAAACATTATTGCCAAAAAATTTTAATGAATGAGAAATTTATTGAAAAAAAATTTGAAATTGCCAAAAAAAAAAAAGGTGACAAATTCAAAAAGTAACATTTAAAGGTGGCTGAAAATCAGGAATTTCAGGAAAGAAAAACACAAAAATCTTTTACTATTGATGGGAAAAAAAAAATTGAAAAATGAACAAATGTAAAAAAATGCCAAATAAAAAACTCCTAAAATTTTTTAAAATTTTTGAACAATTCATTGTATATTTTTGATGCAGCTACATCTGAAAAATAATAGGACCATTACCTTTCAAATGTATCATTAAAAATAACAGAACGCCTGCAGACCTCAGCATTAAAAAAAAAAAAAAAAAAATAAAAAATCTGCCCCTGTTTATTAATTATAGTGTATAAAGGATAAGAATCAAAAAATAAAATAGAAACAGAAAAATTTTTAAGGTATTTTTTATATTTTTATTTTAAGTATTGAATATTGAAAAAAAAAAAGAATGAAAATTAAGAAACGAATTAAAAAAAATTGATATAAAATGTTAAGAATAATTGAAAAAAAGAAATGATTAATAAAAAAAAAAAAAATACAAAAAAAATGAATGAAAATATTAATTGAAAAAAATTTGGAAAAAAAGAACACAGAAGAAATAAAAAACCATAAATCAAAATAATCAAAAATAAATACGTTGGATATCACTAATAGCTAAAGGTTTGAAAAAAAATAAAGATATGATTTATAAAAAAATATATTCATGAAAGAATTCAAAACATATTTTGTTGACAGTGAACTGAATGAAGATTAAACCGTTACGCAAACTTAATGTCAACTTTTCCAAATTACTTTTTAACTTTCTGGAGAAACAATTAAGGATTTATGAAGGGTTTATTATGAACCTGAGACAGATAAGATCATTTTGAAAGGCAAAATAATTAACGATAAATTTTTGCTTTGCGGAATTTGCTAATTATATTGCTGGGTTAAACTCGTTAAATTATGCTTTTTCCCTTCGATAATCAGAAATCTTTACAAGTTCCTTAATTAATAACAGATCTTAATGAACTCAGAATTTTTTATGCCTTTTGATAAAATGAGGCCTTGTTTCAAGGTATGATTTCATTTTAAGACAAAGATAGATTTCCTATCTGTATGGGGCAGCTAAAAATTACAAAATCTAGTTTTTCGCACTATGTTTGTAATAGCGGACCTTTTGTAATAGCGGACTGATAGTTTATTCTTGTTGTCATAATTCTAATTTTCTAAACTATTCTTATAGGTAAAAGATATCTGTTACTGTGTTTCTAGTATACATTGGGTTATTTTGAAGGAAGAGTGCATGAAAACTGTGCGATGCGCTCGGCAGAACTCGAATTTGGATCTCTCAAATACTCGCCGATTGTGCTACCGTTACACCACGAAGGCATGGTGGAAGGAGGGAAGAAATACCTTAAGTACTCTCCTTTTTAAAGGGAGACTTGGGATTAGGAGACAACAAAATCGGCAGATCCTGGTGGCAGATCCTTATGGTGAATAATTACTATCAACGACCTTTTACTTCTGGGGCCGCTGTCATTATATTATTTTGAAGCAGGAGATATGAAAAATAAGTAATTCCCTCGCCGAGACCCGAACCGGGATCTCTGGAATAAGCGCCAAATGTGCTACCGTTACATTACGAAGATATGCTGAATAATACCTTATAACATAGTTCAACTAATAAAAGTACTTGGGGTAGATTATGGACATAACATCTTCCAATATTTCTATAAAGACGACAGATACTCTTCAGTCTTGTGTCTCCATAAAAGGAGTGACTTTAAACTGTTTATACATTTTGCAATAGAGCTCAGTTTTATGTATTTGAATTAATAAACACTATGTTAGTAATTGGTTTCTTTAAATCATATTGAGAGTACTTTTGTATTCCAGAAGTGGTATTATTACCGTTGCTGCATAAATATTATCTTAAACAGGCTACGAAGGTAGTCAAAGATTGAATGAAACTAGTAAAACAATGATAGATTTTTTTAATAAAAAAGGTGATATGTTATTCAAATGAATTTAGCGCGTTTCCATGCAGCTTGTATATGGATAGGACAATAGTCTTTCATCACATTGTTTCATTTCATTCTCCTAATTAATTCTCGCTTTATGTTTTCTTCCATCGCATTTCTTTATTGTTTTCGTGAAGAAGTAAACAATAAAATGTAAACGAGATGCGAGACGATAGTTAAGTGGCAGAAAATATCATCATGAATTCTATAGGAGTTTTGGCAACTGAATAACTCCTGAACTAGCCTACTGCAGGATCTACTTGCTGTATTTAAAAAGACCAGTTTCGGTTGATACAAAATCTAAAAGTGAATGAAATGAGCCTGGATTTTTTTCAAGGGAATTCTATGTAATTCAGATTTAGTGTTTAAAATCGTTAATTAGGGAATATGCAAGATTTTCCAATCTTTTTTATACTTTAGTTTTCATATATTTCTTATTGAATACCCTCGGACCCGCCCCCCCCTGGGATGCTCTCCTTCACAATTAGCTAAATCGCACTGTCACCTGAATGGTGCTGAAGGGTGTTGCCAACGGCGGGCGTAATTTAGCGCTCGTTACCACGAGTCATTTCGTGAGCCTTGGGCTGACTACGTCAGACAAGTGGGTAAAAGCAACAAGAACTGTCCTTTATTTTTATTTTTACTTTTTTACGTTGCAGAGACATTAGTTTTTTTATGCTGGAGACGTGAAAAATGAGCAACGCCCTCGCCAGGATTCGACCTCCAGAACTCCCAAATACAGTCGAGAGTATTTTCAGTTATACCACAAAGGCATGTAGAAAAGAGGGAGAAAATACCTTCCCTTAAACACAAAGGTGGAGTCTATACAACCGCGCCAATATTTTAGAACTGCGAAACTGCTCGTAAGTTATATAGTTATTCTTCTCCTTTTCAGTACTTTCAAGTTGACATAAAATATAACCATTTCTAAATTTTTATTAGTTCTATCCATTAATTTTTTAAATAATTTTTAAAATTGGACCACGGTCAAATAGACCTCACCTCTGCGTTTACATTACTTTTTTCTGGCATGAGGGGGAGATTGCTTTTGCAAAACAAATAAGAGAGAAATACTAAATGATTTTTTCCAAATAAAATGAGAAGCGAAGAATCTTCTCTTTGTGCATTCACAGATAGAAAGACTCTAGTCTCATATGTGCCTCAAAAATTAAAAACTGTTATTCTCATTTCTTCAATGCATCATTCGAAATCAGAGGACCTTGAAACTGAGAATCCAGAAATAATAAAATTTTACAATGTGACTAAAGGAAGCGCAGATGCACTGGATGAAAAATGTTCTAAACATTCTACAAGCCGAAGAGCAAGGCGATGGCCAATGGCCATATTCTTTAGGTTACTTGATGTAAGTGGAATTAATGAACATGTCGTTAAAAGTCATCATCAACATCAGTCGTTAAAAGATAGTGCCAAATTGGAAAAAACGTATTTTTGGTTGAGTTATCATCAGAATTAGCGAAACCGCATGTGGAACGGAGGCTACAAAAGCCAACCGTGAACCTAGAAATAAAAACGTGCATTCAGAGAGCGCTAGAAGTTTCCAGCGGAATCTCTTGTAGCCCAGATGTAACTGATACCCGTAAAAAGCGCAAAACATGCTTTTTGTATCCCTCCTAGACCGAGAAAAAACTACCTATCAATGTTTCAGCTTATGTATTTTATCCGATATGTTATGAACGTGCCAAGAGAATTTGCGAAAATTGTGTTGAAAATGCTTAAAATAATGTACTGCAGTTTTTTAATATTCTTTACATATTATAGTTTTTTGTATTATTTTATATAATCCAGATTTTGTAGATGGATAATTTATTAAATAGTTTAGTTTGTATACATTTGCAAGTAAGTAGTCTTCACTTTATTTATTTCATTAAGTATTCCATACTTTTTCATATGTGATTTAAAAATTAATTTTAATGCATTAATTTTAGAGTTTTAAAAATAATTAATTACTTCACTATAATACGAAAAGTGTATTAATGCTTATATAATAACAATAGTACATTATTTTAAAATGTTATATTTTTAAAATGCATTAAATAGAGCACGGTCTGAGCCTCCTCTGTGTTCATGTAACAGAAAATGAAAGTCTGTACTTAATGGTTAAGAGGTTATGTTGACCTTTACCAAAAATTCACAGCTCATGTTAATGAAAAAAATTAGAAATAAGGAATAAAGTTTTGTTAATAGTGTTACCACATTGGGACGTATATTACAAAATCATAACTATCATTCTTAATGGCCCACCAGCGGCCGAGCGGTAAAGTCGCTGAACACTGGTAGTTCGGTCCGAGGTTCGAATCCCGCGAACGGGCTGGCTGCATGGGCGTTTTCGTGGTTTTCCCCATGTGTAATGTGTATACGAGCCAGTTTTCCTTAGAAAGTCCTCCACGAAGGCATTCCTCCCCTTAGGCAGATAGCCCTCGAGGCTTTGCCATAATCACACACACACACATTTTTAATGTTTCAGTGCTATATCATTAATAAATGTGTTTAAATCATTAAATTGGTATTATGTGATTATAATGCAAAGAAATATTTCCCTTGTTCATTTTAGCGATGAGAGTGCTCCTCCACATAAATCTTATCTTAGTGATAATATTATGGAAAATAAGGATATTAATCGAATGAAGTGCCACCCAGATCCTGTTGGCAACCGCCGTTGATTTCCCTAGCGCATGCGCATGATAAACAAGTTCTCTGCTGCGTAATACTTATACTTAGTAGGTAGTTAGCCAAAGTCAATGGTGAGTAATGCATGTAAGAGAGAAGGGCTAAGCGCTGTGTAATATTATGTTTCTACTCTGCTGTTCAACGTCTTCATAGTTAAAATAAATGTTTGTCATGTATATAGAAGACGTCATTTTATTCTTCAGATCCCTAGTCCTAAACCCTATAGAACATGTCTGGGACGTTCTTGGGACGAAAACCGTAGTTTACATTTCCCCTTCCAGAATCCTCCAGTGCCTGAAACAACGTTCTTGTAAATGTGTGAAAGACTGCCATGGGGACTCATAGCTGCCTCATTTCAAACACTAAATCTCATTGTGAGACCTATATGACTGTTATAAGAGATCATACCTCTTACTGACCACCGCTTGTGCTCAATTTTATAACCTCTTTTTTAAAGCGTCTGCTTAACACGCGATCACGTGTATATTCCAAGACTGCTGTGTGGTAGATTTGTTTCGTACTATATCTACCTATGTCCATACTTCCTGTACAGTCCTTAACATCTGTCCATCAGTTTTGGAGAAAATCGACTTAATGTGAACATTCTCTTAATTTTGAACACCATTGTATACAAATGTCTTCTTATACAATACACTGCTTTAGTTATGTGTCATAATAATGACATGAAAGCTAAGACACACGATGAACGTTCCTAAAGAGTAGTGAAGAGAAAATAAGAAGATGGAACGCCATTATTACTACTTAGCCTTTAAGAAGTATTAGACACATACGTTTTAGAACTCCAGCTATGTGGCAGAACTATTCTAAAATAATTTATTAATTGCAGAGATTAATGTTTTGCTATAGATTTTATAAATCACAATAGTCTTATAACGTGAAATTTGTTTTTTAAATATGTTTCATACTGAATTTTGTTTGATCGCTTTACGTTAAATGACTCAACACACGCTCCCAGTTAATTTACTTTTTATGTAGGAAGCTTCCTTTTAGTAACTGTTTTTATATTGTCTAAAAAGGTTAAGTTTTACATAATGATCCGAGATTTAAAAGTTTGAATTCAGTATCTCAAAAACTTTGGCTCGAAGAGCGGATGAGGTTTGCAATGCTACTTTTTCATCAGCGCCAAAGACGCCATAAAATTTTTAAATTTCGATAAAATGTCATTACATATCTATGCATGCAAAATAAAGTTTATTCCTAATACATTTCCTAATGCCTTTTACGTGAAATTAAAAATTATCCTCAGCATATCTCTTTCAGACTAATATGATGCAGCGCAGTCGGCACATTTTTTCCATAACTGATTCTAAAAATTATTTTTTCATGTTTAATCTAGTATAGGCATTCGTTCTTTCGTTAAGTTAGGCTTAATGCTCGAAACCATTTTTCTATGCATGGAAAGTATCGTTAAAGCACAAGCAGAAAATTCAAACGTAATCAGAATAAAAAATGCATTAAACAAAATTAGCATTTTCTGCTTCGTGCATTTGCTATCATAATTTCCTTTTAGCGTGTTTTGCTAATAGTCGGGAACACGTATGCGAAATGTAAATTGCGTTTTTAAGGCCCATAGTACAATTAGTTGGAGTTCAAACAGTAAAGGTATAAGTCAGAAAAGAGAAATTTAATAGAACTTAATTTATGTAGGCTGAATTGTTCACATTATAAAATGAGACGGTGAAAGTTTGCATATTCACCTTAGCAACTATTCCCCATTAAAATGTCCTCTAAGTTTACCTCATGAGCGAAATAATTCGATTTTTTAGAAGACGATATCTGTTGATTTAATTTCAAAACTTCACATCTGATGTTGAACTGATTTCTAGTTAAACTTCACAATCAAATTTATAAAATATATTAAAAATAAATCTCCGTTATTATCTTTAAACATTATTCTTTGAAGAAATAAGTCATTTATGCACTCTATATTAAATGTGCTGTTATTCTCGACCCTCAAGTTTTTTACCTTATCAGTTTTCAAATAAAAGGTTGTGTCGACCAGATGCTATCGATATGTATTATTTTTTAAGAAATAATATAGATAATATAAAAAATGTATGCATCCGTGAAAGCTCTATCTGGAATTCTGAAGATATGCTGTTTTTAACTGTTGTGTGATTTTGTTGTAGTTTACATGGGTAAGGGCGAAGAAAGTGATGTATAATACATAAAGTTAAAACGTTGTGTGAGTCATTTTATTAAGAAAACTGAACCTTGATATGAGGACGTGAGAAAAGACTGAAAAAATAATGGCAACTTTTAATTTAAAAAAATCTGATGTGTACAAAACATGACTTCCTTGTACGGAAAATTAAATTATACGCATTTTTCTTGCATTTCATTTAAACTTATTGGATTGAATTAAATCTACTTCGCCGACAGCGCATAAACCACAATAGAATAAATGCATTCTTTAAAATTCACTCTAGTATTTGTTTACCATAACGACACTCTGGCGCTAGATTCACTTAAAAATTATTACTGTAACTAAATTTGTATTACTGTTAGTTTGCGCGCAGTGCTTCAGTACAAATTTTAAATTTTCGGAAAATACTGTTAGTTTTTTCTTTATAAAACAAATTCTTATACACTATTAAGTAAAATAAATAAAGAAAGATAATCATCTATGTATAAAGATGACACAATGAAAATTTCATAAATGTATGACAAAAACAGTTTGACTTATTAAAACTCGAAAATCAGCTAAAATTCTCACTTTTTGTGTTGCGCAAAAGTGATGACTCCACTTCAGTATTATATTTCGTTCATATTATAACTCATAATGCACAAAATTTGTATCATTTAAATAATAGAATTATCTAATCGTTGCCTCATGTTCTATTCAAATACTATAATAAAGCTAGAATGATGTATAAAAGAAATTAAGCAAACAAAACAAAAAAAGAAACAGTTTTTCACAGACGATTGAGTATTTCTCATTTAATTAATTCAGTTTTCTCACTTCGCGACAAGGCAAAAATATATAAAAACTCAAAATATCTATATTAAAAATTACGAAGTAAATCTTAACGCTTATTTCCTCGAAAAAATTCCAGAAAGGATTAAGCATGATTTAAATAATAAATGAAGGCGTTATCTTTGTTGTTGCGAAGCTAAGTTTCTCTAGATTGGCAACAAATCCACTAGTCTCCTGTTTCAAATGTAAACATCAATGGCCGCCATTAAAACAGGCTTAGCGGCAATTAAACAACTTTAAAATTGCTGATAATTAAAAAAATATCGCACACAGATTTACTAAAGTCATAAAATCCTTAACCGGAAGATAAAAACAACATAATTCAATCATTTTTAAAGCCAAAAATGTACAATTTACCAACATATAAGAGTAAAGAAACTGAGATCACTGAGCCGGGTAACAGAGTGGATATATATATAAATATTTATATACTACGTTTGGTGCGTCCGATTGCAACCAAAATACGAGGTGCACATCTACATGTTATAGCAGTCCTATATACAAAATTTCAACGTTCTGAGGCTACTCGTTTTTGAGTTATGCGAGATACGTACGTACGCACGAATGTACGTACGCACTTACGTACATGCGTTCGTACAGACGCCAGAAAAATTCTCTTCAGAATTAATTTTAAAGCAGTTTATAATTTTTTTGAAGGAAAGAGTATTTTATTCTGTCCTTACGTACAGATATCACGCAAAAACATCGTTAAATTGCATTCGATGGGGGTCAAAATGGATATTTTCGTTGAAATATGCTGCCTGAAACTTTTCGCGATTACAATACTT